GCACATTTGAGCTATTTTAGAAAAATGAAATTTAGATAGTTTATACTCATACTCAGGAGTCTTGTAAACAATTTATGCTTGTATCTGGGAGCATAGATAATTTAGGTTCATAGGGCGTAAAGCAGCTTATACTCATGCCCTAGAGTCTTATAGATAGTTTAGGCTCATATCTGAGAGGCAACTTTGAGTTATTTTGGAAGTTGAATAGTTTATACTCATACTCAGGAGTCTTGTATACAGTTTATGTTCGTATCTGGGAGCATATTTGAGTTACTTTAGAAGTTGAATAGTTTATACTCATTCTTCGGAGTCTTGTAGACAGTTTATGCTTGTATCTAGGACCATAGATAATTTAAGCTCATATCTAAGAGCGAATTTTGATTAATTTGACTCATTTTCTTTTCGCGTAACATGTGATTGTATGCATAACTACACATCCTCTAGAAAAGAATTCTTTTTGTATGTACTCTTGTAGAGTAATTGGAAGTTGAGGGACTTGTTTCAAAACTTCATTAGTTACCACTCACGGTGGTTGGATAGTAGTGTACTTGCCTTGTCTTTTCTTGCTTTTGGGGGGTTTCTATGATCGAACATTCCTTTTAATTTGCTTTGATTGTCCATAAGGTAGAGTGGATTGGTGTGTCGCATGATGCTCCCGATGTGTAATGATGGTCCAATCATCTTTTGAGAGTGATGTGGTGGACCGGGGTGAAGGAATTTTCTTAGGACTTAAGGCCTATGCTTGTGCTCGATTTAGTACTAGCCTTAGTGTATGGCAACAAGTAAAAGGGTCACTGAGGATTTGTGTTTGATTTAGTAATGCCCCCAGTGTAAGTTCATAGATGACATGATGATAGGGGAATTAGAGAGCTTCAGGTTTAAAGGATCCAAATGTAACGGTTGTTATGTTGGTGGTCGCTATGTCCTCACTTGGATCTAGTTCAATCACTCCTGACTCAACCAATTGCATTATCTTGTCTTTGAGGATAAAACATTTCTCGATTGGGTGGCTAACTACCCAATGGTAACGAYAATACTTCGAATGATCAACTTTCCCTTCCTCTTTTGGGCATTTACTATCAAGAAGCTCTATAAGCTTTTCGGTTAGAAGGGCATTCAATATTTCTGGGACATCTGAGTCAGGGAATGGATACACATTCACTTCCAATTCCTTAAGAGTGAGTTTTAGATTTTCTTTCTTTTGCTGAATATTTGATTTTATTTCTTTCTTGCTTTTTTCTCTTCCCAATAACTTTGAGAAGGGCTATTGAGGTTGCTAGAACTTGCATCGGCCTAGACAATTTCACCTCATTTTCGCCATCTTTCTTTTCCTTTTCCCTTTGGAAATCATCCAGGTGATGTTCTCTAAAGGTAGGCAAGCTAAGTTCCATGTCATGTGCGCAGRTGGCCAATTCCTCAAATGTTCAAGGTTTTCATCCCTTGAGGATATAATGCAAACCCCAATGCATGCTTTGAATACAAGTATCAATAGCTAAAGCTTCTAAGAGCTTGTCTCGACGGTTAAAGTAGATATTTCTGTCAACGACTGGTTCATCTTTTCTCTGTTTTGTGGCAGTGAGTTCGTACATGCTTACAATACGTCGAGTACCGTAGGCGCAATCCAAGAACTCTCTTTCTAATTAATCACAACTATCAATTGATCAAGAATGGAGGTTAGTGTACCAGTCAAAAGCATTTCCTCGTAGAAATCGTACAAATTTCTTTACCATCAAATAACCATAGGTCCCGACATTGTTGCACATCTCCACGAAGTGCACAATATGTTTCTTGAGTTGAAACTTGGGGGCTGGTACCCTAATGGTATGGGCATATGATCAATGTGCTCAGTGCTTGGCTTAGTATACACTAATGACTATGGAATACCCCCATACTTAGCACCTATTGTGTCAACTATCATGTTTTGAAGTTGTTGTACTGAGAGAGAGGCGACCGAAGCATGTTGGGCGTTCCATATGTTAGTACGTTCAGGAAATTCCTCTCGGAGAGGGTTTACTTGCGAGGTGAACCCTAGTGGGTGTGAAGGCCCCTGGTTGTATGCCATTGTTTGCATTTGTTCCATTTGGTTCATGAGAGAATCAATTTGAAGGTCCTTCTCTTCTACCGTCTTTGTTAACTTAGCGATGGTTGTAGCCATCTTAGCAAGTTGTTCTTCCACTATAGTAGCTCCAACCATCATGACGGGTGCTACTGAAGTGTAGGAGCAAGTCTACATGTAATCAGACCCTCCGGTCTTGGGAGAGTTGGGATGGGAGTCAAACCTTGAGCCAGTACTAGATTCCGCGTCCGACATGGATATTTGTCCACTTGGATGCTCAAGTGGAGTTGTTGATAAGATCAACTCTTTTCTCAGAGCTACCCCTTCCTTAGTAGCGTCCTTCACCATTGGTTGTCTTAAAGGTTCTATTTTGGTGTTTTAGCTTTTTGAAGGGACCCCTAGAGTTGTACAGGGAGCAAGAGATGTAACCAATTGTGAAATCTTGAACCTCGTCATGAGACGAGTGGTTTGTCTCTCATACTTAGAAATTGGCAAAGAACTAGATGAACTTGTACTATAAGTTGCATTTATGTTGTTGTCGATGACACTAGAAACGACTTTCTTTGGTGTCATGTGTCCAAGCCACTTATAAAAACTTGATGTGCCGACTTGAGAGATGAGTGGAAAGAGACATCCCATCGGGCGTGCCAGAATTTTGTCAACAAAAATTTCGTGCTAAATTTGGAGCACAAAAAAAATGAGGACAAATTCAAAAGAATTTAATTAACTTTTTTTGTAGAAATGTAAGTGGTATACAAACACTTTTTTTTTCTTTTTGCAAAGAAAACCCTCTGATTCTCTTGTCTTGGACAAAATCTGAAACCACGACTAGAACTTGCAATTATAAGAAACAATCGGCCTTGTGTGAACAAAAATTTCCTCATGATCAATCAGTGATTAGAATGTGAACCATTGAAAGCAATATCCTGGATTGTAGAAGATTTCTTTTTGGATGTGGCAACTTGGTGGAAGCTTCCTTGGCTACAAGAACTTGGCAAACGATGTCTTTTTTTATTGCAGTAAGTTGACCGAAGTCTTTTTTATCACGGGAACTTGAAGGTCAAAATCCCCCGGTTGATGTGATACGAAGTTGTAGTAATTTCGGTGTTTGGATGGTTGAAGAGCTGGAGTCCTTGTTCTTTCTTCCTTGATCTTGGTGCAGTCATCCCTTCTTCTTCATTTTTTTTTTTTTAAAAAAAAAAAAGAAGGAAGTAAAAGGAGGCGAAGGAATTGAGGAGCCGAAGTGTGAAAACGGGAAGAGGACCCTTGCTCTTCTTTCCCCCATCAATTTGTGATCCCCATTTATTAGGGGAATGGATGGGATTTCCCTTCCAATTATTTAGAGACAAGTGCCACTTGGCAAAGGAGGTGGGCCCATGAAGCTTTTAATTCATTTGACCAACCGTGATCTTTGATCAATCAGGCCTCCTTATGCTCATTTCCTTTTTAAACGGGATCCTTTGTAATCCCAATCAAAGATTTGTCCAATCTGTCCACCGAAAGACAGATTTAAATCTAAGATTTTTTTTTTTTTTCTTTTTTTAAGAGCATTGCACTGAAAATTCGAGTCTTAAAAGCCCGTGACCCATTAATGTAGTGTAACATGCCAACTCTTTTTTAGTGGGCCCAATAACTTCTTCTAGTTGGTTCGTTTTCTTTTTTTTTTTACCTATCAACAGGAACATCTCCTGATGTTCCCAATACACGGTTGCAATATGCTGTGGGCACAGATGTAAATTCCCACAAATAATAAACTGCCTTGGGCCCACCAGGCCCTTGGGATTTAAAGTGCATGACTCTAAGCGCATGGTGCAACCAGTTAAGTGCATGTCCCTAAGGGCGTCCAAGACAAAGTAATGTAAAGAAAAGACAAAAGTAGAAAAGAAAAGGATAATAAATAAGACCTTTCCAAGGGATTGAAACTTGAAAGTTTCCAGAGTTTTTATAAATAGACAAGTAGAAAAGAGACAAAAAAGCTGCAGATATCCTAAGCCAGAAAAGATACTAGACTGGAACCCTTTCAGCTCAGGATCTCTGCAATTACAGCCCAGTTTCAGGGTGAACTCTTGCAAGTTCTTGTCCAATTTTCAAACTTATACCACCAAGCCCAGACCAGAACCTTTTCAGTTCGGGATCTCTACCATTAATTACAACCCAGTTTCAGGGTGAGCTCTTGCAATTCCCCAACTATTTTATACAACTTTCGAACTCACATATAAGACCAAGCCAGACCAGAACCCATTTCAAGAGATAACCCTTTCAGTTCGGTATCTTACCATTACAGCACAGTTTCAGGGTGAACTCTTGCTGTTTCCTGACTACTTTTCTCCAACTTTCAAACTCATACGACCAAGCCAAGTCCATTTCCTTATAGGAGGTAAATCAGTTGGAGTACAGAAAAAAAAAAAAAAATCAAGGGGGKGTTTATTTTTTAGATTTTGAGAGGGGGGAAGTTGGTTAATGGGATTTTGATTCTCATTGACCAAGAAATCCATGTTCTTTTTTCAAATTTATGTAGGAAATGGGGAAGTTTTTTTTCCTACTTATATCTCCTAGGTGGATAAATAACTTCCCCCCAGGTGGAAAAGTCACCAACACTTGAATGGGATAAATATGCCCCTTTTAATAATGAATTTTTATAGGTAAAATGGCCATTGCCTTATTTACCTGGGAAATAAAAGAATATGGGTAAATGCACTTACCTGGGTAAATCTTTCATGGGAAACACTTACCCAGGTAAGTGCATTTAACTGGATAAATAACTTACCGAAAAACGAACAGGGCCTAAACATTAATAATAAGGAAAATATACATTTAGATTATATATTTGAGGAAAAATATGGTCGTGAATAATTCTGAAGGAAGAGTAATGCATATCATAGTATGTGTAACAAAACATCAAACACTTACAAATATTTATCTGCAAGACAATGTTGTCTAGCATGATTATCTTTTTAATTCTTCTATATATCCAACATCTTGAACAAAAGCATCTTTATCAACTTGACTTGAAATAATTTGTTACTTTGAAATGGTATAGTACAAACATGATGATGATGATGATGATGATGATGATGGACTCATATTTGTGTCATTTAAAGAGGAGACCATGTTTTTCATTACAATTGAGCTTGACTCATATTCCTCCTTGAAAGAAAGTGGCCGATGATTAAGAAGAACAGTGCCAAGACCTATCTCATTAGAAAACCTTGCATCTTCCCTCTTGTAAATAAGCAAGTCTTCCGAAGATTCAGATAGATAGCATAATTCTTTTTCTTGTTTAGTATAAATGAGGTCCCTCCTTAGAATTTCAATAAGTGATGTACTAGAACGCCTAATCTTTGACCTCTTTCTTGAAGGAATTTGTTGGTCCCAAAAACTTGGTTGGCCTGAACCTGAGGTCAATATTAAGTAGAAAATTTTGTTACTTAATTGATAAATTATGATAAAGCATATTTGAATTAATGCTCTTTTTTTTGTATATATATATATATATATATATATATATATATATATATATATATATATATATATATCCTTAAGCCATCAAGTCTTAAACCCAAATCTTACATGGTGAAAAAACCATAGCAAATTAGTTCATTGAAACCAAGAGGTCAAGTGTTCAAGTCCGCCTTAATTACTTACCATAATACAAGATACAAATTTTAAAAAGAAGGCAAAAGATGTGGAAATTTGAAAAGAAATTAAGGGTATGTTTGGTTTGAAGGAAAAGGCCGAGGAACGGAAAGGTAGGGAAGCCTTCCTTTCCCTACCTTTTCCTTCAAACCAAACACAGCCTAAATGAACTAAAAGTATTGAAAACAATATGTAATGATAATAAGGAGGTTAAGTGTTCAAGTCCACAACCAAGGTTGCATTTACAAAAAGGAACTAATTAACCCCCATTATGATTTGTCTTCCACATAAAATTGTAGTTCTCCTGAATTCCATGTAAGAAAGTAGAATCAAATGATAAAACTTTGAATTTTATGGAATTGACAATTCATCTCTACCGTCAAAAGGAAAAATGCCATGTAAATAGATAAATTATTGGATTTACCATTTAAATACACAAGTAGATATATATATTATATTATCTGTAAGGGTAAATTACAAAGACCCCTATACTATGGGGTCAGTCTCAAATACCTCCTTAAACTTTCATTTGCAACAAAACCCACTGAACTTTCACTTTGCAACAAATACCTCCCTCCATTAGAGTTCCATCCGTTAACTTCAAAAAAGATTCTCATTCAGATTTTTTTTTGTTTAAATCCCCAAAACTACCCTTTTCTTATTTATTTGAATGAATTATTATTTAATTACTTTTCTAAAGATAACACTGAAGTCCTCTTAGTTGCACCAATAGATCCTTGCAGATTTTTGGATAGATTCAATATTCAAATGAAATGGTAGAGGTTTCTTTTTTATAGATATAAATTAATTTATGATTTAGTTTGGTTTTTCTTGATTTATTGGAGAAGGGAGTGGATAACTTTTATATTTTAAGATTAAGAGATACATTCATGTCAGTGAAATAACTAAAAAAAAAGCTTTTCTTTCAATGCTAATGAAATGATTCTTGTTATTTTAGGTGGTTTTGTTTGGAGAAATAGATGTTTTTTTTGGTCAATTAGGGTTTAAGAGAAAATGGCAAGGAAAAGAAAATCAGGAAAGTTTAGACAGGCATTTTGGTAATTTAACACATTCTATCATCTAAGTGAATAGCCTAAGGGGTATTTATTGCCAAATGAAAGTTTACAGGATTCTTTGTCACAAATGAAAATTCAGAGGGGTATTTGTCACTGACCCCACAGTACAAGGGGGTCTTTGTAATTTACCCTATTTATAATGTGCCAAAATAATGCAAAATATATAGATTCAATTCTAAGCCAGTTAATATATCTGGTGGTTGTAAAACAAAACTTGTCAAGATGAGTTTATATTTCTGGGTAGTTCATAAATCTAGTATTGCTAGATATAGTTTACATGTTATGTTGCAATCAACATAGGACTTTCCTATCAAAATTATTATGCACATTAAATCCATATATTGGCAGGCAAGAATGGTAATTATTCTTATAGTTAGTTATTTATTCAAAAAGGAAAAAAAAAAAAGTCAAATCCACAATTTAATAACCACCCCTGGCTAAATTGTTAATTAGCAAATTGGCAAACCTTTGACATGTGAAAAAGATGCCTCTAGATGCCAAGGTTTTCTTTCTTGTTGAATACTTAAAGCTCAAAAGTTCATGAATCCCTTGTGCATCTGATAACAGCTTAGCTTAGGAATCCCTTAATTTCGACCTTAATAAATCTCCATATATGATAGCAAGGCTCAAAGTATCGATATGTATTGGCTAAAATGTATTATATTGGGAGTTTCCCGATATGTTCCTACATAGGGTGTATCGGGGTTTAGACCGATTCAGAGGGTAAATGAACCTTAAACCGGCCCCTCTGAAACAGATTTAAGAAAACTAAAAAAAAAAGTTACCGATACGCCTCTACTGGCATATCGGGCATAACGATATTTTTGAACCTTGTACAATAGGACAAACTATGAATTTGATCCCTTGAAATAAAACTAAGATCTCTTGTTTGATTGCAAATTTTAGGAGTATTTGAAAATATTAAATTTAAGTTACTTACTAAAGAAAAAAATGTAAATGATAACAAAATTGATAGTTATTATCTTGGTCTCCTTGTAAATTAAAGGCATCTCAAAGTAAAGTGAGAAAATTAATTAAATTTCATTATATGCATGATAGTGGTCCTTATTGCTTTAAAGAGAATATATAATTTGACTCTCTGCACCTTTGTAAAATGTAATGGTCATATAATAATGGTCCTAATGACTGTGGCTTTTAAGAGGTTCTAAAATAACAGCTTAGAAACCTTGAGCTAAATTCGATAATAGTGAAATTTTAATAATTATGTATATATAAAACAAGTTCTAACGTTCAAAACTCAGGAAAATGCATGGAATATATGCTCATTTTACATACTATAAGGAAGAAATTATTAGTGAATACTGGGAATTTATTTCAAGGTATATAGAATTGGAAGGTAAACTTTAGACATGTCACCAACTAGGAGATTAAATGAAAGGATGGTTATGAAATAGGGATCTCAATGTGATTTTTTAGTTGGTTCAGAAGGTACCTTATTTTCACAAAACTACCTTCTTCTGTGGGTGGGCAACAATGTAAAGAAATAAATTCAAAACTTACATATAAAATTTTGAAAAAGCAAAGAGCAAAAGAGTACGTAACTTCTTTTGCATTGCTATTTATAAGTTATTCTTTGATTAATTATTTTCAACTACTACCTCTTAGTCTACTAGTAACAATATGGGGAGTTGATAATTTTCAACTTGAAGAATAAAATCTAGTGGCAAATTTTCTATTTTTCTACATAAAAATTGGAAGAGATGTTATACCTTATATCAACTAAAGTTATTATGTATCATGGATAAATGTTTTACCATATATCAATGCTTCACTGTCCTTAATTTGAGAGAATTTAAACACATTAGGTTTCACGATTTTTTTTTTCCAATTAGAGGCACTTAATCTAATTATATAATTAACTTTTTCATATTGTATTTACTAATTTTATAATTCACTATATTGATGACTTTTTTTATAATTTACTTAATGATTTATTTTATTTTATCTATAATTTTGTTCATCTAAGCAGTGATGTAAGTATACTAGATTTCTACCTCTTAATTTATAAATAAGAAAGAAAAGGAAATTTAATATATTGGCAATATGTTTTTTAGTTTGGTAAGCAATTTTTATTTTTCATAATGATACTTGTGTTTAATGTTTTTTCTAGGAAAATTTGAGAGTGGAAATGGGGGAGGATGAAAGCAGATTTAATCTCAAGACAAGGGGAACCCCATCCTTGTGGGGACCCCCTCTCCCCCGCCATTTTTTATGATGTCAAATTCATTTTATTTTTTATTTCTTTTTTTTAAATAAATAAAATAGTTATAATTTACAATTCTACCAAAATAAATCTAAATATATTCAGACATATTCAAATACATTCGAGGTGGGTCCCATGGGGATCTGGGAAATGGAAAAAATCAAATTTTAAAATTTCAATACGTATCGGCCCATATCGGCCAATACGTATTGTATCGGGGCCTTTCTGATATGCCCCTATAGGGGGTGTTTCGGGTCAGTGAGTGGTTCAGGGGGTAGACCGGCCTTAAACTGACCCCTCTGAACCAGATTCCAAAAAAAAAAAAAAAAAAAAACACAATACTGATACAGGCTGATACGCCCTACATGTGTATCGCCCTTATCAATATTTTGAACCTTGGGAAAATTTCTACTAAAATAAATTTAAAAGTATCCACGCAATATTCAATATATGTCACATTGTATTTAAAAGATTAATTATGTTCAGGTATTTAAATATCATATCTCTAAGGCCCCATTTGGTTCGTAGGAATGGGGTCTAGAATTGGAATCGGAGTGGGTTATTCTGATTCCAACTGTTTGGTTGGGCGGAATCGGAATCCGATGGCATTCTCCCATTTAAGGGAATGGTAATTCCCTGCCTCTCCCTCGGGAATGAAACCTCATTCCTGTCGATTCCAATTCTAATTCCTGTATGAACCAAACAGATTATGGGAATAGACCATTCCAATTCTAATTCCAAAAAATTTCCATAATCCGATTCTGATTCTGACTGTGAATCAGACGAACCCTAAAATTTAATTAATACAAAACAAAAATTATTATAGAAAACACGAATTTTTTTTCTTAAAAGTTATGAGGATAACCTGAGATTTCTTTCTTGTCCATGCTCTCCAGATGGATACAACTCTCAGAGCATAATATTGCAGACTCAGAACTAGATCTGTTGCTTGTATCATCTATATCATCTTCAAATTTTGTTGAGCACATACTGTCCCTTGTAAATGCTTCTTCACCCTCCATTGTTGTGTCATTCTTAACTTTTATATGCAATCCTTTTGTTGCCTTAGATTTATTCTTCTCTGAAGTCTTGGAATTTGTAGAGTCAAATATTGAAAATGGGCGATGCAAAGGATAATAATTCTCCAATGTGCCTTTTATCCTATATCTTGAGCCACATGCATTACACAATATTGGCTTTTCAGGTGGTCCATTCCTCCAAAGTGGAGTGTCTGAATAATTATGAAAATCCATTAGTATTAAATTAATGGGTAGAAATTAAACAATCACAACAGACAAATAATTAAGAAAAATATTACTAATCTTTTCTCTATATTTTTTCAATAGCCCTAAGGTAAATTCCATGCATTCAACAATCAAACTTCAACTAAGATAATTAATTAAGAAACTAAGTTATCAGTGGATATGGCTTAAATTGTAATTATGTTTAATTTTATATATAAAAGAAAGCTATTAAGATGAAAGATTAAGAGCTAGCATAATATTTAATAGTAGAGTAAATTAGCTAATTAAAACCCTTTTATAATGAAATTTTTGTTCTTCATCCCTTTTAATTTATGTATTTTGATATAATGGTAAAGGAACAAAATTGAGCTTAGAAATTTCAGTTTAGTATTTTTTTCTTCTACTTTATATTGAAACAAACATGTATACAGGAAACATAAAAAAATGAAAATTAAATAAGTAAAAAAAAATGAAAGCATAAATTCCTAAAATTAAATTAAAATTTTTACTACAAATTCAAAACACATTACAAAACTACTATATATGCACAATGATAATAGGACAGAATATCACAAAATAATCTATGAGGAAAAGATCAGAAATAAACTCACTTTTAGTTCCACAATGGTAACAGGGACCTTGTTTGCCCATACAAATCTCTGATTTCTCTTGAGATAATTTAGAATGATACTCAGCTTTCGACTAAGACCAGTACTATATATATAAAAATGAATCTGAAATATGAAATTAATAGGTTGCTGCATCAAAAGAATATCTAGTCTGTTTCAAATAGGTAAATCAACAAAATAGAAAGAAACCCATAAATTATTAACTTAAGTTTGCTATAAGCATTGTAAAATTTGACAAAATAAAAGAATTGAAATGAAAAGAGTAATAAGAGAAAACAAGATCAAACTTACTTGTAATAAAAATCTAAAAGAACTTCAACTTCTTTTCATTTCCTTATCTCCATATCAGATCTTTGGCCTGTATTTTGTACTATTTTTCTTTTCTTTTCTTCTTCCGTTATTTTCCAGTACCATCTTTTCGTGAACACTTTTGATATGAATGAAGGTTTGAAAGTATTTATATAGAAAGATACAAGTGTTTTTTATGCTACTAAGAAAGAAACAGACATTCAAGAGGAAAAATAATAGTAATAATAATAAAGGGTAACATTAATGAAAAGAAGAAGAAGAAAGAGAGAGAAAAAACAATGACTTGTAATTTATTATTACTCCCTGGGTAAATTGCTGAAATCTCCCCTGAAGTTTCAGACAATTGCTGAAATTTCTCTTGAAGTTTGATAATTGCAATCAGGCTCCCTTGAACTTTTTTATACTCTTGCATGTTGATCCCTTCTCTTAGAGTCTTCTAAAAAGAAGCACAAAATTGTCCAAAATTAGAGAATTTAATGTGGCAGATTTGCCTTTAAATGATTGATCCAAGGAGATTGTAAGAATTTGGGTTAGTGATTTATATGAAGAGAAAATTTGGAAAATAAACATTTTAGTCAAAAGTAACTATGTGGTATTTTAGACATTTTCATGCATCTTTTTAGAAGATTCTAACAAAGGGGGTCTACATACAATTATGTCAAAAAATTCAGAGGAGGTGATTGCAATTACCAAACTTCAAGGGAAGTTAGCAACAACCATAAACTTTAGGAGAGGTTTTAGCAATTTACCCTTAGTCACTCTCCTTTCACCTCACTTTTCTTTTCCTTTATCACTTTAATGAAATGGTTCTTACTTCATCGTCCTACTCTTTTATGCCAAATCACTCACTCCATCAATACTTTTTCAGTCACTATCTTTTTCAAAAGTTTGTATTTAAAAATAAAGAATGCAACTTTCCAAATATAGTTTAAATATATCCCTTAATAATAGGACAAAGCCATGTCACGTGTTACATGAACATTTATAAAACACAACTGTTATATTTCAAAATTAGCAAGAAATTAATTATCAGCATATTTATGATAATCACCTCCTCACCCATAGCGTGATAGTGATAATATGCTACACTCACTCACTGTATTCTTTTATATATCTCACTTTTAAGTTTGAATTTACTATACACACGTGGCATCTTGGGCATGTGGAAGTTTTCACACGTAAAAGTGTGTGGAGCCTTTTAATTATTTATTTTAGTGTTTAAAAAACCGGACCAGACCGTCCGGTTGAACTATGACCCATGGCTCTAACCAGTTCGATCATACCCCAATAATCGAACTTGCTCAAAACCCACTGAAAACTGGCTGGTTGAACTGGAAAACCGGTGAACCGGTTCCGGTTTCATGAAACCACTCAGGTCCATATATAAGTGAAATTTTAAAATGTTGTTAACAAGATTTAAATCCAATACCTCTTATTTTCACAAATTACTTAATTACCACTAATTCACCTCTTCACTTATGCTAATTAATGACTATTTATTATACATATTACATTATTATGTGCATATTTTAAAGAAATGTAAGTTAAAAGGCTTGAACCCTAGTCATTCTTTTTTAAAATTAAGAAGCTTATCATCCATCCACCATATTTAAGTACATTAAAAGTTGTAAAAATATATTATATATAGTATTTATATGACCCATACTATATATATGTATATGCCACATCATCACGGTTCGACACCGGTCAAACCTCTGACCCATGAACCCCTCCCTTCTCCGATTCTATGCCTAGTCCAGTTCTTTGAACATTGATTTATCTTGTTAGCACTTCTTTTATTTCTCTTAGGTCATGTTTGGGAGTGTTTAAAAATAACTACTTATTTGGGCTGGGACCACACCATTAAGCACTTATTGGTGTTTGGGAAATAAGTCCAAAATAAGTGCTTATTTTAAAAACAATGACTTATTTTTTAAGCCAAAATTTCAAGCTTTTTTAATTGCTTATACAATAAGCATTTATTCAATTCTTTTCTTCCAAAATTATCCCTAGTTGAATTTTAAAATACCACTTATAAAATTCCCTAGTTGAATTTTATAAAAGTGATTTCGTAAAAGTAGTTTTATAAAAGTAATTCTGTAAGCATTTTTATGAAAGTGCTTTTATAAAAATACTTTCATTAAAGTGCTTTCATAAAAGTACTTTCACAAAAGTATTTTCATATAAGTACTTTTATAAAAGTGTTTTTGTAAAATTTGAAAGAAAATGAAGGACAAAATAGTCACAAATGTTTATTTAAGTGCTTATTAGAGAAAAAGACTACCAAACTGTCAATATGAAATAAGTGCTTATTTTACTTGAAAAAGTTGGATACCAAATACAAATAAGTGCTAATTTGAATAAACACTTATTTTTAACATAAACACTCCCAAACATGGCCTTAAATTGTATTAGCACTTCTTTTCCTTCAAACCAAACAGTCTTAATTAATTTCTTTAAATTTGGTCGTCTTCCCTAACAAACTCCAAAAGAATAAATACCAACTTTAGAATTTCAGCTATTAAATGGTGAACAAAATAAGAAAATGCCTAAAAGAGATGGAGTCCGACCTGGTGACCTGCCACCACCGCCAACCTAGCGAAAACCTAGTTGACGACCTCGTCCACAATTCTGAATGGCTTGCAACACCTCGTATAGGGGTCGACCTGTGGCACCTCGTTAGTACAGTCGAAGTGACCTCGATGAGGAGTGACCTCCCTTGAGGGCTTGCCGACTTGATTGAGGTTCAGGTGGCGACCTGCGAGACATGCTCACCGCCCAATTCAGCATACATATCCTGAAAGTCTTGGGTTTCTCAGAAGTTGCCCCCCATATCGGATGTTCCAGAGGAAACCGAACAAGGTGCGAAGACTGGTCTACGTGCACGGCTACCTCCAAGGACATCGAGTCGATTAGGCACGTCTTCCTGGAGACCTCAAACACGGTGCGTTATGCCCAAACCAAACAACACCTATATAAGGGCATCTACCTCAGTGACACAAGGTATGTGCGGTTAAGTGCATTCTAGCTCTTTACTTTATTGATTTCTAGCTCGCAACTACCTACTGAGAACTAACTTATGCATCGGAGCAACCTCGCCAGGTTAGCCACCCCAGGTTCTCTAATCCCTCTTTCTTGCAGTTTGTGTATCAAAAGCAACGCTTTTTTATACTGATTTATGTATAACCAAGATATTGGCATGAAGCGATCGAATATAAAATTAAGCTAGCATTTCTACAACCAATAATTGTGATCATTAGTATAATAACCCCTATGATGTTGCATATTGTAAAATGAAAAAGCAAATCACTTTCCCAAGTTATGATTTAAGTAGTACTTTTATAAATTACTTTAAATGCTTAGCATACATATATCTGGGTAAATTACTTAGGCCATGTTTGGTAGTACTTAAGTTAAAAATAAGTGCTTAAAAAAAGTGTTTATTTGAATATGCATTTATTTTGACACCTAATATTTTTAAGTGCTTATTTTTTAAAATAAACAGTTATTTTATATTGAGCATTTGGTAGTCTTTTTCTCTAATAAGCACTTAAATAAGCATTTGTGACTATTTTGTCCTTCATTTTCTTTTAAATTTTCAAAATAGTCCTTTGAAAAAACTTTTATTAAATTACTTTTATAAAAACACTTTTATGAAAGTATTTTTATAAAAACACTTGTTATGAAAGTACTTTTATGAAAGCACTTTTAGAAAAGCATTTTTATACTTTTATGAAAGCACTTTTACGAAAGCACTTTTATAAAAGTATTTTTATGAGAGCACTTTTATGAAAGCACTTTTACAAAAGCACTTTTATGAAAGCACTTTTATAAAAGTATTTTCCTAAGTGCTTCTATTAAAGTGCTTTCATAAAAGTATTTTCATAAAAATGCTTTTATAAAAGTGCTTTCATAAAAGTACTTTCATAAAAGTGCTTTCTTAAGTGCTTTTATAAAAGTGCTTTCATAAAAATACTTCCTTAAAAGTGCTTTCATAAAAGTACATTTATAAAAGTGTATTTGTAAAAGTRATTTCATAAAAGCACTTTTACAAAAACTTTATAAAAATACTTTTATAAAATAACTTTTACGAAATTACTTTTATGAAATTCAACTAGGGATAATATTATAAGTGGTATTTTAAAATTCAACTAGGGATAATTTTGGAAGAAAAAATTGAGTAAGTGCTTATTATATAAGCACTTAAAAAAAGCTAAGAATTTGGGCTTAAAATATAAGCCCTTATTTTTAAAATAAGCACTTATTCCCCAAATACCAATAAGGGCTTAATGGCCCAAATAAGCACTTATTTTTCAGCACTCCCAAACATGGCCTTAAACCATTTAAACATAAACATAATAATAATATCAACGAAAAGAACAAAATAGTCAGATATGTGGTGAGAGCAAGGGAGGGTGATGGAAGAAAGGGGGTTCATTCAAAAGAAATCTCCTCTTTTTTTATTTTTTTGTTGATAGTTGATACATTTTCAATCAATGGATATTTCACTTCACTGTTCATATCCTTGGGTAAAAATGGTTTTTTATGCTTAAAATCATGGCATCATTAATTTTTTTCTATTAATATCTCAATGTCAGGTAAGGTGCAAACCAGCTGGTTGGTAAAGTATCATGTTGGTCGTACATAGTGGAGACTTGGGATCGAATCCCACCTGCACTTGGGTTGGGGAATGGGCTACCCCCATTGTGTAGCCCTTCAAAAGAAATAAAAAAAAAAAATCTCAGTGTCAGCTAACGGAAGGGTTTAGCTTGTATAATTTATCCAAAATATGGAGG